AGGAGCAGGACTGGACACCCTGGAGACACACTGACCCCCCAGGAGCAGGACTGGACACCCTGCAGACACTGACCCTCAGGAGCAGGACTGGACACCCTGGAGACACACTGACCCCCCAGGAACAGGACTGGACACCCTGGAGACACACTGACCCCCCCAGGAGCAGGACTGGACACCCTGGAGACACACTGACCTTGCAGGACTGGACACCCAGGAGACACACTGACCCCGCCACAACCAGGACTAGAGCCCTGATCTAGTTGAAAACCCATAATATTATCTATTTATATCAGCGCCATATGACATCCCCCAGGGCTGTGTTGGGGTAAACCAACTGGCAGCCTGACTCTGAACGCAGTGCTGCCTCTAAACACAGCAGGCCAAGAGACCAGCTGCAGGTCTCTCCTGCCTCATGCTTTCTGTGTGCACTGGGAACAGAACGTGCATTCGTGAACCCTGCACGTCACCACTCGTGTAAGCACCACCACAATCATCTTTGTAAGTGCTACACAATGTAGTAACTACTGTATACAGCTCCTTATTAAAATCAGACTGTTTCCCTCTTAAGGACAGAGCGCAGGGGAGGAGACTCGGACTCATTCACAGAGACGGAGCGAGAGGGAGGAGGATAAGAAAAGCCCGGCTGACGGGCGCGCTGCGATCCCCCGAAGACCATGGCCTCTGGAGAGGCCCACACTGACGACCCGCTTCAAAGTCACAGGAAACAGAGCCCCCCTGTCGTTCCGTTTCTCGGTTTGGTCTTTTCCTCCACAGCGTTTGTATTACAGAACCGCAGACCTCCAGCCCCCCCCCGGAGCTCAGCGGCAGGCTGTGGAGGGCGCTTGGCTGCCTGCCTGAGCGTCCCTGGTGGCGGGAGGGTTGTCACTTAGACATGCAGCACCTAGTGCTGTCTGCGCCAGGATTACTAATACAGCACAGATCTCATTGATCTGGTCCTCCTGGGGACGCATGCGGCTCGTGAGCAGGGGTGTAACAGGAGGGGGCATGCGCCTCCCTCAGCCTGTAGGGAGCAGTAGCGAGCCAGTTGCTCTTGTAGACCAGTGCACGGTGGGATGGTCACAGCAGGAAGACTCCTAGGGGGCAGGTCTGGCCTCATTTTGACCCCAAGACTAGTGACCGGGGATGGGCAACTCCAGGCCTTCAAAAGGACTTGGGGTCCTGCAAGTGTTCCCACCACTTTTGAATAAGCAGTTGATTAAGACCAAAAATAGCAACTGTTTATTGAATTCAACTAAGCAAATGAAGATGAGAGATGGAATTGAGATAAGAGGGCCCTAGTTACCTGTCCCTGCTATGCGTGCATGCCCAGACTTCCCTTTCTCTATAAGGCCGCACCAACTGTAGATGGGGGTGGTAAATATTTCAAGCCTTGCTGGTCTTCAAGGAGAAACAACTGCTGGAAAAGCACACCTCCTCCATGCCAACAAACCACGTCCCCACTCATAAAATTTGCAGTAAGCAAATTAGCTGCAGAATAACGGAGTGTCAGAAACAAAATAAATACCATCCTCTTCCTTTACATTTAAGATGTTAGCTCCCCTGTACACTCGCGTTTGTGCATCAACACACTCAGTACAGACGAAAACAAGGCAGCTTTATGCCACGGCAGGACTGAAAACACCGTCAGTAACGGATTAGGAAATTCCTCGACAGTTAATGCGCAATACAGTTCACCGTTTACAGCTATCTCATCTCCGGCTGCAGCGCGCTTTGAGAGAAGGATTTTGAGTTTTTGCGCTCAGTTCGTTCTTCACAAGTACCTCGACTTCATAAAGGTGTTAAATGGTGAAAAGTTAAAATGTCGAATTTCACACCGCGTCAGTACGACGGCCACCCACCGCGTGGACCGTGTTCACAAATTTGTCGGAAGGCCAGATGTATGTATTTTTTAACAAATGTTCTCAATCACATTATTGCTTTATCACAGCACAGTGGTTTGGTCAGGAGGGGACTGGCGCTGCAGTATTCAGATGGATTTACCCTGGAGGGCTCTTCCGCAACTAAAAGCTCCGTCTGCGGGAATCCGAGCGCGCGCGGCCCGCTTTCCGCTGCTGCGATTGTGCAATTAGGCGAAGCTTTTACGTGGTCATCAATTTAAATCATTCTTAAATCGTAAAAACGACTGATCCCACCTATAAATCGGTCAAGGAATTGTTTTCTCTAATTAAAAAAAAACGCAGAGTCGGGAAAGAAACCATAACACAATCACACTCATTCAGAAGGATTCATATTCTAAAAACTCAGGCAGAAGATGTTACTTTTGAGAAACGTCCTTTCTCGCGTTTTTTTTAATGCAATCGCAGTTTTTCCTGTCCAAAAACTTGTTTTAAAAACCCCTCTCGCCTGCACGACGTGTTTAACACATCGGTATGCCTGCCTCTTGGCTCCACGGCGGGCGGCAGACAGCACCTGACCCTAACCTCCACAAGTGCCAGTGCCCTCTTTGTCCCGCCTCCATGCCCCCCCAGAGCATCCCTCTCATTTGTCAGCCGACATGTGATTGGCGTGACCTTTTGCTGCAGCGGCTAAACCCGTTGCCGTGGGCGACATGCACCTGAGCCCAGAAATTCACGCGGACCCCGGCTCGAGCCAAGCCCCCTCGCTTACGAAATAAAAAAAAAAGACACGGAGAGAGACCACTCGCGTGCGGGTCGAACCGACCCACCGCCCTCGCCGCATCATCAGTGCCCATGTAAAAGTTTTAAAGGGGTGCTTAACAAATATATGCTTGGGCTCCTCTGTCGTACCCCGAGAACTTTGAACATTTTCCCTCCTTTTTTTCCGCAGTAGCGCCTACGGTTGCTGAAGGGGTTACAAGCGCCCAACGGACTGGGCTCTCCGTAGTTCTGCTGCTGATTTAATTTCACACCAGATCCCCTCATCTGTAACAATACGCGCACTGCTGCTGTAACTCGGTACAACTGTGAGTGAAAAAAGAGCGCAACACGGCACTAATGATGCACAACAAGTACCAGATCGCGCCATGCTCCACAAAATAGCACAAGATCACCTACTGCAATAAAAACAACAGAGCGAGCCGTGTGTCTGGAGATTAAATCAATGTCGTGAAGTCAAATCCTGATGTCAGCCCTGAGGTTAAAGGCGACTAGAATTTGTGATCTTTCAGATTCCGCGACTAATAAATTATCGGTTATGTCAACATCACGATTAAAGTTACAATCTTAAACAACACGGACTCGCTGAGAAGTGATAAGGGTTTATTTTTTTATCTCTTTTCAGCAGGGGCTTTAGCGACGATGGAAATATCCACCGTATCCCATTAATTGTTTAAAATGAAAATTTTATTGCGCCCGCAGTTCCAGTAGAATAATTAGGTTAGTCTTCACTTGTCATGAATACAGCTAGCGCGGCAAAAAAAAAACCTGACACTTCGCACGCACTGTGAACTTCACATTAACATTTAAAAAAAAATCTCAACTTTCACTGAAAAACTCTTCAACTTAAACTTGTCAAACAAAATTACAAAGCAAAAAAGATCTCCAATTTAACTGTTATTTTTTTCTTGAAAAATCTATCACTTACCTCGATTTTCTACAGGCTTTCAATTATAATTAATTTTTCCTATGACACTCCAATCCGAGAACCGCTTATCTCCAAGAGCTCGTAGAGCAGATGGCTTGAGCTGAGGCACTGCCGATGTTAGGTTACTGGATACACATTGCGTCACCGCTTAGGATCACGTGACATGGGCCACCCTTGGCCCTTACTAACTTCACCTCCGTAACGTGACGAGGGTGCGTTGGGTTTCCCGTCGAGGAAGCTGACGCTTGGACGTTCGACTCGTGCGAGAGGTTGATGGGAACTGAAGTTCATTCATAAGCCGCGCCTCGCTTGTTTCAATGCTACACCCCAGCATGAAAAACTACACCGTCGGTAGTTGAGCCTTCATTGCATCAGCGTTACTAGTAAGTCGCCGGTTACATGCCTGGCGTGGTGCTGAAAAGCTAGTGAATTAGATTGTGTCTTGTAGCTCGTTCATTTATGTTGAGTTTCGATTGAAGTTTTTGGAAGGTTTTAACGAAATCATGAAGTTATACGTGAGTGAAGGCAATCCGCATTGTTTGAAAGTGCTGGCGGCGGTGAAGGTAACTGGAGTTATCTGTGAAATACAGCACGTCAATCACGAAGGTAAGATCATAGACTAAGCTACTTTTAGTACAGAAACGTTATAAACCAGCGGAGGTCACTCGGTCCATTTCAGATGGTTTGAGCATTAGTTGCTGATTGATCCGTTGATCTCAACAAGCTGTTTCCTGAAATATGTGATTGTATCTGCATCGACTATATGTCTGGTAGCTTGTTACAGGCTCCCGCAACCCTTAGTGTACAGTAGCCCCCCTCGTTTTCCGTTTCAAAGCCACTTTCTCTTCTTTTCCACGAGCGTCCATTGAATCGTGTTTCAGTTGCAATGACTTATATCATCAACCATTGCCGTCTTTGTCCATACCTTCGGTGCACAAGTTAGACGTTTATAAATGTCAGAAACTTCCTCAAGTCGAATTGCTTCCTATTTTATGTAAAGAAGAGCCTCCTGTTCTGAAATTGAAATGCACTTCCACAGGGCTTCCATGTGTGCCCCCTGGTTCGTGTTTCACTGCTCATTCTGAACAAATCCGTGGGGTTGATTTTGAGGGTGTTTAATATGTGTGTCTCGTCCCTTTGTAATCTTCTTTGTTCAGACTCAAAAGTTTGAGTTCCTCCAGCCTGTCAGATTGCATCTCTCAGAGCTGCAATATCTCTTCCGTAACACGGTGATCGCAATTGTACACAGTATCCTAAATGAGGTCTTACTAGCACTTGGTTCTGAAAGGTCTCAGGGCCCTGTTTGTAAGGGTAGGGCTGTTAACCCCAGGGTCATGGCTGAATGACACGACTCGTGCACTGAGCTCCGAAAAGCTCCCCCTAATTTCAGCCAGTAGTCCTTTCTCCCTCCCAAGCCTTCCCCTGGTCTGCTGGTGCCGAGTGGCTGCAATTAATTCAGATCATTTCATTTAGTTTAAACCGAAAGGATTTTTTTTTTGATTATTCAAAAGCAGTATGATAGGGGGTGTATTCATTATGTACAGTATATAAAGTGCATGTTGGAAGTCTGTTTTTCTGTCCTCGTATTTTTTTGGTCGTATCTTTCGTGAGCTGTCTGCCGGACAGGACACTATGAGCGTGCAGTCATGCTGTGTACAGAGAAAGCAAACCTGTTCCGCTGCACCCAGTCGAGGTGGAATGTGTTACTGTGAGTAATTATAAATTCCTGAGCGCTGATTGCTTAGTGTAGCAGTTTGTTCATAAGCCGGGGATCCCCGGGACCCCAAATTGTTTCACATTCAGGAGGGGACCCACTTCACCTCCCTCCGGGGTGCAGCCCCACCTGGTTGACACACAGCAGGTCAGGGGGACGAGAGAGAAACTGCCGCTCCAGGCGAAATAACCTGATTGTACAACAAGACCCCGGGCTCAACACACCTTCTCTTACGGACAGTGCCTTGGGATTTTTGATGACCAGCTAGTCAAGAAAGAGGATTCCAGCTTCAACTCTTTAAGGAATTAGGGAGGTCCAGCAGGCACACCACTGACCCCCTCTGTCTGGAATAAGACACCCCTCCTCTGATACCCTCATCAACATCAGATTATATTCCCTTATTATATACATTGTGTGTGTGTGTAAACCATGTTATTCCTTAAATTGATAAGAAATCGTTAGTAGAAGCCAAGGGAGGTGGGAGATTAAGGAAGCAATTGATTCTCAATAAAGCTCCAGTGAAAACAGTGTTTTAACTCTTAGGGTAAAAGAGTCTGGGAGCCCTGTCCCGTGAGCAGGGGGTTGGGTGGGCACCTATTCTTAATGCCCGTCTACCTGTGAGGACGTGGGCACTTTTTCACACCGCTCGTGTTTCCTAGCGGGCAGAGCCAGTTAAAGCCTCGTCCTGGCCACCCTTGCTGTTTCACCTTTGGGTGTGCAAAGACAAAGGCTCGCGCCGTTCCTTCTCCCCTTCCCTGCTTGTGCGGTACATGCGTGGGGGGGGGGCCCGTACGCAGGTGTCCGCGTCGTGGGTCCCAGGGGTGTGAGTTCGGACTGCACACCTGGTCAGTGCCAGGCGGCCAGCAGCGGGCGTCTCCGGGAGACAGTAACGCGTGTGTGTGTGTTGTGTGTTGTGTTTGCCCTCCCTGCAGAGCGAGTGGTGCCCTACCTGAGCCGTCCCGTACTGCCAGCTCTGCAGCTCGACTCTGGGAACTACCTTTTCTCAGCCAACGCCATCTGCCAGTGAGTTCATACCTGCCTGTGCCCTCGCCAGCCACAGCAATGCCAACCTCTTGATCAGTCAATATGGGATTCCCGGTGCACCTCTCCTCCTTCTGCCCCTGGAGAGAGAGGATATACAGAAATGTATTCATACTGGTGCTTTAATAGGTATTTATACAGAGATGTAAAACATGTAAGGTGTAGAACAGCCCAGTGTCATTACTCCTGACCTGGCTTGAGTGCATTTTAAACAAAGGTATGTGTGTATGTGACATGTCAGGAGTAACTGGTGTAGGCGACACCAGGAATAGCCAACGTGCCTTAACTGGAAGTATGTACTATGTGTATGTACCAATACGTTGGTAATGGTCACTCATAAACACCCATCTGTGGTAATAACGCAGGATGACCATGGCTGTACCTGCACTATAAAACTCTCTGCGACGCTGCTGGAGTTCAGGACACTGGGGGAGGGGGGTTGCACCTTGTGTGTGTCTTCTCCCAGTGTTCTCCAGAAATGGCTGTTTTCTCCACAAATTAGGGGGGAACTGCAAAGCTATCTTTATGTTTCAGGGTTTAGAAAGAACCAGCATTGATGAGTGCACTTCAAACCGCAATAAAAGTGGAATGTACACAGTAACTTGTATTCTGCGATTCAGAACGAGGCAGCCCTATTACATTGTAAACAAGCAGGCTTGTGAATACATCTCCTTTAATCCAAGAGAAATATTGCTCTGAGACGCTTCACCTACAAATACTACTGACTTGCCAACTCTGCATGCAGATGATGGTGGAACATTTCTGCAGTGAAACATCTGCTGCACAACCTGTACTCCTTCATGCTCCAAAAATAAACGCGCATCTCGCAGAGGTATGATTGTTGCATTGGCGGGTTGTTCACGTAGCAGGCGGCTCTTTGGAAGGATTCTTTCCTCTCCTTGCAATGCCTTTGTTGCCGCAGGTACCTGTTTACGCTCACCGGACAGGAGGCCAGCGATGCGACCAATCAGTGGCTGGAGTGGGAGGGAACACAGCTCCAGGTGAGGGGTGGCGGCCTATGCGATTCGCTGCTGTGGCTGTCATGTGACCTGAAGAGTGTTATTAGAATCCAGAGTGGGAGGGACCTGGAATTTCATGAGAGAATTGAGGAATGCATTTTTTAAAAGTTTTGTCTGATACACACATTTGAGTCTGGAAACGATGCAAGTACCCAGGGACACAAGTGGAAATTAAGCTCAATACACCAGACAGAAAAACAGGACCCGATTTTTTACACAGAGGATTTGTGGGATTGTGGAACCAGATCCCAAGTCACATTGTTGGATTCGACTCTGTGGGATCCTTTAAGAAACAGCCTTGTGGGATTCTTGGATTCAATCCTAATGAGATAGGTAGAGTTGAATGGTCTACTGTTATTTGCAGCCTTTCTTGTGCTCCAGTGTTCTGCCTATGAATTAGTTTGCAATTGTGTATGTAAGTTGTGACTGGATGCAGTTTAAAAATGGAGGTACTGGTTGCACTGAAGACCTGTGGTGGAAAGGATTGGAGGAGCTGTGTGTTCAGTAGCCCTAAGGGGAGGTGTTGACTATTTTTCTTGTGCTGTGTTCCTGCAGCCTGCAGTGACACTGGCTCTCCACACGGTGGTGCTGCAGGGAATGAGAGACAAGGCCACAGGTTACCTCCAGAAGCACCTGAGCCACATGGATCAGAGCCTGACCAAATCAGCAACGTCATACCTCACCTCAGTAAGACACATTAGAGAAAACCGTAATGGAGACCTGTATCTGGCGATTACTATGGAGTAGGAGTTTGGAACAGCCTTTGCAAGGAGGAAAGAGAGTTTAAGCCTGGAATGAATAACATTACAAAAACCTTTAATGAAAGTTATTTAATGCATGTTAGAAATGAGTAAATAACATTGTAATAGGAGGAGGTTGCCAGTATTTATGCTTGTGAAAATATTTTTTTTCTTGCAGAAAACTGTGACTGTTGCAGATGTTGTCCTGTGGGGGGCGCTGTACCCCTTCCTCTCGGATCCCACTTTAGTGCCAGGTAAGAGTGCGCGGTATGTCAGGTCTGCCTTTCTGGTTTGCGTTGTGCTTTTTCCCGCCCGCCCACTGTGCCGTGTGCACCCTTGTCTTGTCTGTTCCAGGGGGGCTGCAGGCGGTGACGGGCTGGTTCCAGAGAGTCGGGGGACTGCAGGCCTGCCAGGCTGCCGCCCAGGCCGTCCTGAAGGGGCAGGGTGGGCTCGCCGCTCTGAAGCCCTACCTGCAGAGGCAGCCGTCCCCTCGCCATCCCGCGGAGAAATCCACCACCAATGAGCCAGAGGTTAGGAAACTGTGAGACCCCTGAGTCTACATGCCACTTGACCAATCATCTTCTACCAATTGGTCACGTGACTGAGGATGGCCAGTTACTCCCCGTTGCCCTCTGGGAAATGTAGTGAAGACAAGATCTGCCCTCTTGTCTCCACTTGCTGTCATCTTACTGTATGTAATCGGCTCAAGGAGAGCTGGTAGAGTAGTCGGAGCAGGTGAGGGCAGTGAAACGGTGGTCAGTCAGCCCACTGTGTTGTCACCCTTCAGGGTGAAGGCTCAGAGCACTCGATGACAGAGGAGGAGATCCAGGCAGCCGCCGATATCTGGTGCAAGGGACTGTCCATCTATCCCAAACCCCGAGAGATCCAGCATCCCATGTGAGTGTATCCCCACCGCCGTCTGTGCGTTTGTGTAAGATTCGCTTTATAAGACACCTCCCCGTCCATCACAAGTGTGTCTCTGTCCAATTCGATCAGCAAGACTCCCCATCCTTCTCCTGCAGTTCGGAGCCCAGGTCCTGTTTTCAATGTGGATATTGAAAGAGCCCCCCGCCCCCGTATGTGAGCTGTTGTCAAGCCTTGTGTCGTGCGCAAATCAAAAACTAAGTTTTGGGGCTCGCGTGTAGCCAGGAAAGATGCTCGCTTGGAATACGGGCCCGATACCTGTGTGCCATCAATATAAGTACGTATATTGATCCATCAGTCTGTACCCGACAGCA